CACCACCACCAGCACCAGCAGCAGCAGCAGCAGCAGCAGCAGCAGCAGCAGCAGCAGCAGCAGCACCACCACCACCACCACCACCACCACCACCACCACCACCACCAGTAGCATGACGAAGAGACATTCGCCTTGTTCTCAAGGATTGTGTTAGTGCGCCTCCAAAATTTTTCAAGCACCCACCAGTACAGTATTCTGTTGAATATGAAGTTTCTCTGTGAGGCAAGCGCATGGCCCTCGGCGGTCGCACCGGACGGCTACTGCCGGATGGCCAGGAGCTTAGGTTCACTTAGGTTTTAAGGGGGTGGTGGCGTGCAAGATGTCCTTCAAGTGGGCTTTGGGGAGTTCTGAAAGGTGAAGAATGTGAAGCTGACTGGAGGTGACGCAGTACTGTAGCTATCCTATCACTGCCCAGTGCGCGATGCCTAGCTTTCACAGACGGCAAAAATGGCTCGAAGAGTTGGAGCTCCGAAGTCTTGCGCAACAAGACCTGAGCCGAGGAAGAAAAATGTGCATCAAAGGCAGGTGCAAGCATGAAAGCACTCGGCAACTTATGCCTGACCTCACCCCAACGGGTCACCCAACCTCACGCCAAATGGTGGGTCATCTGGAAAAGAATCCCGGCTTGGCTCATTTGGGAGTTCAGCAAATAATATTCAATGGCTAGAGAATGTTGACATTCAGTCATTGTGCAAGGTGATGCTGGCGCTGCTTCTGCACGAGGCTTGGGTTACCCTGCAGCCGCCAGACCGATATCCAGGGGGCTGGAAAGCTAAACCTGGATCCTGTTGTACAAGAAGAGCCTTGCTTCTTTCTGCGTAAGCTTCAAAGAATTGTTAGCAGCGGGGTGACACATGCCTTCTTTGCTTGATCTCGACGTGCTTGATTGGCTCTTTCAATGACCATAGATGACAGTTGCTGTTGCGGTCACGAAGTTGGCGTTCGTGTGTTAAGTTAAGTCTTGTTGAAGATGAAGTCATTTGGGATTTTCAAATTCAGCTCCGAGCTCGAAGCCTCCGAAGAAAGGAGCTGTGAACCTCGAAATCCTTACATGATAGGATCCGCCTCTCTGAGCCTTGCACCCTCAATCCTGGATCGTTAGGCTCAAAAAGCTGAAGTCCTCAACTTTTTGCCCCAAACCTTAAACCCCAAAGCTGTGGGACCGAGGCACGGCAACGTGCTGCTGAATCCTTTCTGCCAGCGCTTAGACCGGAGGTACGGCATCTCAATGCTTCGGAAGGGCGTCTCAGCTTGCTTCGACGCGGCTTGAGGGATCTGGACTTATGGTTGTAGGTTGGGATTATAATGGGATAATGGAAAATAAAATGGAAGCTACTATAATGGAGAATCAAATGGAAAATGAAATGGAAACTGGGAGGCAATGCTATTATGGATGTGTGGTTTAAGGCTGTGGGTTTGGGGTGCAGTGGTTGTACTGAGTCAAGCAATGTCAGCAAGAACAGCAAGGCAAACGCCAGTCGCAAGAGTCCTGCCATTTTTGGTGATAAGTTGTGAAGGTTTGCCTGCTCCGGTAAAGCGAAAGCGCTGAGCTGAGCTTGATCACCCTTGAAACCTCCGCATGGCAGCCTTTCAGAAGCTTCACTCATCTCGTGAGTACAATCTGACGTTTCAAGTGCAGTCTCCAGGACAAACTCTGCCAAAGTGATGAAGAACGGGCTAGGTCTCCTGGAGTCTAAGCTGGGCAGGTAGGCTTGCAACAGAAATGCTAGACTGAATTCAAGCCGTGTATGGCTTCATACCTGAAGATGTATACAATGTGCGCGACCAAGGCCAACATTGGGTGATTGCGAGCGTGCTTGTTATGTACTGGGCGCGCGAGGTTGCTAGCATGCTCCTCACTGCTGCATTCGGACTCTGGTGTTCGGGTGTAGCCTGTGTAGACAAGGATCCAGGTACAACTTTAGTTCATTGTTTTTGAAATTCTCCCAAAATTAGGGATACCGTTTTTGGGGGTCCCTACAAGGAATACAATATGTTGGGTTTATATTGGGGTCCCCCGATTTAGCGAAACTACCAATGATGGCATGTCCATTTTCTCAAACCAAGGCTATTGTGTTTGCCTTACATCTCCACCTACTCGCAGATTGCCGTCTTTGTCTCCACAATCTACCACACTGCGGCTTGTCCTGCAGTAAACATTACCCATGTCTTCGACTTGTGCATCCGTAGTTTTTGAAGACGAAATTGCTGGAGCTGAAGATTCTCGAGTACCTTATCTAAGGCAACAACACACAGCAGCCAGCAGAGTTTATGTTTTGTAGCCTTCTCCTCGCTCCTACAGAACTGCCGTGGCTGAAAATAGCCAGGTTGCATGTCGTTTGCTGGATCAAGCACCCTAAGTATGCTGGGAACCCACGGGCTTCCTGTACCAATCATTTTGGTTTGTTTTATCCTTGAACTAAACCTGTGAAATGAGACCGTACACCCATGAGAACCGCAATCACTTAAGCTTTCTCAGGCCCCCCACACCCCATTCACGAGGTGAAAATGTTTAATATTTGCCTGGATGCACATCGGCCACTTGGTCGCATTTGGAAACTGAGGGGGTGGCTTCCCATAGAGGGGCCTTGAGACTTTCAAGTTTTCGAATTCCTATGACCTGAGGGCTTCGCATGTGGTT